TTTTCCCTTCTGGGGGAGGGGAAATTAATCACCATTTGGGGTTGGGGGGGGTTTTTTGATTGGGTTAATCTGGACCTGGGTGTGTGCCCCAAAAACCTTCGGGAAGGCAGTTGGAGGAAAGGGTACAGGGGGGTGTTAAAATTTTAAGGGAAACAACTAAAAAAGAAAAATTGGTAAAAAAAAAAAAAAAAATTTTTGGGAGGGGCACCACCGGCGGGGGCAGGGAAAATTGTGTTTGGGGGAAAAATTTTTAGGGGGTCGGAAAAAGGACAAAAAAACCCCGGGTAAGGGCACCACCGGCAACACCGGCGAAAAGTTGGGTAGGGGGGAGGGTCTTTCCCGGTGGGCTTTTTTTTCCATTCTTCCCAAACGCGGGGGGCCACCGGTTCATTCACCCAGTTAAAGGAACCCCCAGGTTTGGGGGGGTTTCCCCCCTTGGACTTGGGGGGGGCTTTAAAGGCCCGGTTTCCATTCAAAAAAAAACCTGGAGGAATCCCCCGGGTTGGGCGGGGGGGGTTTGGCTTTTTTTTTCGGCCCCCCCCCCCCCCCCCCGCCTTCTGCTACACGTACGTGCAAGACGACACTGTAAATGCCAAATTCCGCGCCAACGCCCCCCGCTTCTTGTCAAAAAAAAGTATCATCCCAACCCCAACCCAACTTTGTCCTCTACGTGATGCTATGCATACCGTGTTGTGTTGTTGTATGTGAGTGTGTAGGTGTCTTCAGCACTGGCATCGACCGTGCTGACCAATGAGAAAACGCCCGTCTACATAGCATGCATGCAACCGCGGCTGAAAAACAGACGGCGCTTCTAAAGGCCCATTTGATTCCGTGACCACGTTGGAGTACCACCCTAGGTCACGCACGGCCTGTCTGTGTGCATGAGTTTGTGCGTGTGCTACACGAATACATGTACCCAATACCGCCCCCGGGGATACTACGCGGCAGACACCCGTTTGTCCTACACCCCCAACCGTAGATAGATTAGTCCACTATAATACCTCACAGGCCCTCACACCCGGTACCCTCCAATCCCAGCCAATCAGCGGCTACCCTTGGTACTCAATTAGTCTGACTCTTCTGGCAAACTCAAACCCCCTTCCGTGTTCTAGGATTTTCACACCCGGCCAGTAATCCTCCCATCCCAGCCCATCTGTGGTCAACCCTTGAAAATCCAACAACTCGTCTGGCAAACTCCCTTCCGTGTTTGAGGATTCTAGGGTACCTGGATACTAATTACGGAAGGTTTGCGTGGTACCTACCGTTGGTGTCGCTCATAGAAAGGACATCGAGGGAACGCTGCTTCTAGTATGCGCCCGGTTTTTACTACACGAGGCACACTGTTTGGAAAGGCGAAGTCGCCAACAGTAAAAAACATAGGTTGCCGACGACTGACGAGTGTCGCAGCGATCAACAACAGACAGAGTGGATGGATCGAAAAACAGCATCACCCGCAACCATCTTTCGGCTTGAAAACTCTCACGGCAACAACACCTCTCGGGAAAATATCATTTCTCACCACGTGTGTGGCGTTATCTTACACCTACTGCTTTGAGGGGGACTGAAGAACAAGGAAATACACCATGTGCCCTACATACACACAACCAACGACAACATCACAGCAGTTATCTACCATCGATGCCACCGAAGCACGCCAGTAGCGCCGTCAACTCACCCGTCAGCACCACAACTGTCCAAACGCCACTGTCATAGTCGCCCTTCTGGTGACGGGTCCGTACTCAAGGAGGCAACGACGTCACAACCTCCAGCACCATCCCTACGGTCATGGACGGTAAACCAACGCCACGTTGAACAAAAGGCACCAACCCCCCCGACCCAAATACCTCCCGGCCCAACCAGGCGCCAAACAACTTGTCACGGTGGCCGAACATCGCCCTCGCCCTCACTCCGCCCAACTTACCCTCACTAATCATGGAAATACTCACAATGACGCACAGATGTTACACCTCTCCCCCCCCCCCCCCCCC